TACGAATTAGTCGGCCCAGCCCCCCCCCCCCCCTCCATACGTCACATAATGTCTTATATCCTTCAATCCGTCCTTATATCAATCAGTCCAGCTCGTCCCGCATCCAGCTGGGAATGACCGCGCGGCGCATGGCTCGCCGCCATTGTTCCCGCACGCGTAGCTAGTGCTCGCGCACGCTCCGCACGCCGTGCATGGCAATATGACTCCTATTACTAGTAGCTAAGAGGCGACTTTGATGTGCCGTCATCTGTGGCATGGTTGCTCAGTAGTGTAGACTCGTTTTTGTTGCAAAAGTCGCTTTTAATACTACTACTTTAGCTTTAGTTTGCCAAAATGTGTCTAAAATGACGTCGACTGCACAAGCGAGGGCTTGTGCAGTCGACGTCATTTTAGACACATTTTGGCACGTGCGCGGGCGCATAGATAGTAGAACCGCTCCTATTATAAGTAATTAGGATGCTAAAGTCTGGTCCGTGAGCACGTAGAATTTTGTCCAATGACCCCAAGCTACCCATCTTTATTGCTCGCGCGTAATTATGTTGCTATCGCGCTCGCACACTCACTGCGGGTGCCAGTCGCACAGTCGCGACAGCAATATAATTACGCGCGAGCGAAAAGGATGGGTAGCTAGGGGTCATTGGACAAAATTCTGTGCTCACGGACCGGGCTTTAGTATTTGACTTGATGAGCTGTCGTCTGTTATACGATCCTTAGGTTACACATTTTTGTTGCAAAGTCGCTTCTATTACAACTAATTTACTTTTAGATTGACGTGCTGTCGTCTGTACGAATTAGTCAGCCCAGCCCCCACTCCCTACGTCACTCAAGAGTTTTCTTTCTTACATCGTCAGTCCAGCTCGTCCAGCTCGTCCCACATCCAGCTGGGAATGACCGCGCGGCGCATGGCTCGCCGCCATTGTTCCCGCACGCGTAGCTAGTGCTCGCGCACGCTCCGCACGCCGTGCATGGCGAGGAAGGCGTGCAGGTCACGTGGCGTGCGCTGGCGTAGATGGAAAAATGACTCCTATTCTAATTAAGATGCCAGTGCTTCCTTGCTTCTACAGTCGACGGCATGTCAAGACGCATTTTGGCACGTGCGCGGGCGCATTGATGGAAAATGACTCCTATTACTAGTACCTAAGAGGCGACATTGATGCACCGACACATTTTGGCACTTGCGCAGGCGTGTAGGTAGAAAAATCGCTTCTATTATAACTACCAAAGAGGTGAGCTTGATTTTCTGTCGTCTGTTGTTACTGCACGAACTGAAGCTAAAGTAGTTGTACGTGGTAGGTGCGCGGGCGCATATATGGTAAAATCGCTCCCATTACAACCGCTTAAGGGGTGTCCTTGATGTGCTGTCGTCTGTTATACGGTCCCTCAGTTGTTGTACACTATTTTTTGTTGCTAAGTCGCTTCTATCACAATTTGTCGACTCAGCCCCCCCTCCATACGTCACTCCAAGAGTTTTCTTTCTTATATCGTCAGTCCAGCTCGTCCAGCTCGTCCCACATCCAGCTGGGAATGACCGCGCGGCGCATGGCTCGCCGCCATTGTTCCCGCACGCGTAGCTAGTGCTCGCGCACGCTCCGCACGCCGTGCATGGCGAGGAAGGCGTGCAGGTCACGTGGCACGTGCGCGGGCGCGTAGGTGGCGCCGTGGCGGGCGAGCACGCCGGCGGCTAAGCACGAGAGACGCGGGCGGAGCGCCGCTCGGACCACGCTCTCTGCTGGGCCTGTAAGTTTTATTTATTTATAAGGACAAAGTGTACTTTTCAGGAGAAGCAAAAAACAAAGGACATCATCCACGTTTCATATATTTTTGGTCCAAAATCAAAAGTGCCGGCCTACAAAAAAAAGTGCTGTATTCTGACAGAATACATCTGCCTTAGCATTTGTTACTATGGCACCAAAGCCGTAGCTCCACTGTGCGTCGAGTAGTGCTGTATTCTGACAGAATACGTCCGCCTTAGCATTTGTTACTATGGCACCAAAGCCGTAGCACCACTGTGCGTCGAGTATTTGAGATCTAAAATTTATCGACGATTCATACATTTTTTGTTCAAAATCAAAAGTGTCGGCCAATAAAAAAAAGTGCTGTCTTCTGACAGAATACGTCCGCCTTAGCATTTGTTACTATGGCACCAAAGCTGTAGCACCACTGTGCGTCAAGTATTTGAGATCTAAAATTCATCGACGATTCATACATTTTTTGTTCAAAATCAAAAATGTCGGCCAATAAAAAAATAAGTGCTGTATTCTGACAGAATACGTCCGCCTTAGCATTTGTTACTATGACACCAAAGCTGTAGCACCACTGTGCGTCGTAGTATTTGAGATCAAAGTCAGTCGTTTCATATATTTTTAGAACTCAAATACTACGATGCACAGTGGTGCTACAGCTTTGGTGCCATAGTAATAAATGCTAAGGCGGACGTATTTTATCAGAATACAGCACTTTTATTTTTTGGCCGGCACTTTTGATTTTGGACCAAAATGGATGATGTCCTTTTGCGCCGTGCGGACTACGCTTTCTGCTGGACAGCCATAAGAAACAAAAGGGTACCTATTTTTGACACTAACAATCAATGAGGGCTATCGTTTTAGCGCTCACCAGTTTGCGCCACTGTAGAGTAAGGTCCTGTCACTTGCTAGTAGCGAAGACTGGCACCAACTGGTGAGCGCGAAAGTGGTAGGAGGACTATCGCATTTGCACTAATCAAGATGGCGCCACTGTAGAGTAAGGTCCTGTCAATCGCCAGGGGTGCCAACTGTTAAGTATAAAAACGATAGCCCTCATTACAAGACGCGTTTGTTGCAAAGAAAAAAATGATTTTTTTGTAACTAAATATAGGCTAAGAATTAAGTGTTGTCCAAAAAAGGCTTCCACGGCATGCGTTGTGGACAATTTAATTACAGAATATAAATAAGTAAAGGTAATTGAGTTTCTTGCGCTGCTTCTTCTCAACACTGGTTCATTTATTGTCCCGAAGCCTAACTCTTCTTTAATATTAAAAAACTAAACTTGTAGAAAGTCAAGAATTACACGCGGTGGAGTGCCAACAACCTAGCAGACGCAATTTTCGCGTGCATCTCTCAAGATTCGGCCACAATAACTGCTAGGTTGGTATGGCCATGGGTGGTGGTGGGATTTGTTATCTTTCTTTCATTCTAAAGACTGACCTCCTATAGATGCCACGAGGGGCGTGATTCCGTCCGAATCCATAGCGTCAACGTGAGCGCCCCTGCCAAGTAACTCGCACACTACGCCGCACAGCGCCTCGCTCCATTGTTCTCTTTCGTCTGAAAACATCGCAACGTTCTTATTTAGTGTACAACTTAGCGTGAAAAAGGCCATGCTTATCTTTATGAGATCGAGTCAGAAATGAAATCCATAAACGAACTAAAGTCGCTGACATAGCCCAACGGATTAGCAAGCTGAAGTGGTAATGGGCAGGACTGACGGCCGATGGGGCAGCAAAGTTCTGGAGTGGAGGCCACGTACCAAAAACGCAGCGTGGGACGGTGGACCGACATCATAAAGGTAGCAGAAAGGCGCTGGACCGAGGCGCCTACCAACTGGGCAACATGGAAATCATTGGGTGAGGCCTAGAGATGGGTTATACTAGGTAAATTTGATACTAGGTGCACCTATTCCAAGTATTTATTAATACGTGATCCAAATACCTGTTCCACTTAGTACGTAGTAATTTACCATACTTGACGCGACTAGTGCGGAGTGCGGACTAATCCACGTATTATGACTTTAAAATACAATTTTCTTTGAAAAGATACAACCGTAGTATAGTTCCAAAATACAGAACTGTCCTATCGATGACATTGACAGCGGGGCGCCACCGTCAGTACCGAATCGCTGGTTCCGATTTTTGCCATGTTGGAAACCATATAGTTGAACGATGGTAGCGCCCCCCTGTCATTGAGTTTGGTGGGACAGTTCAGCGTGGGTCATCTATATTAANATTAGGTTTTACAAAAGTATTTAGTGGAAACTAGTTTTAACCAAGGAAAACGGGTTTTAACAGTGACATAATAATATTATTAGAAATATTTACCAACAACATAATCAGATTAAACTGTTCTGGATGACAGAATATAAAAGTGTTTTCAAAGTAACTGATTCAAAGATTACCGATATAGTATGGTACAATAAAATGTAGCCTTATGTTAAAGAGAAGTGCAGCTTATCTCACCAGAGCTGCTGACATGTAAATACAGTAAGTATGTTTACGCCACTCAATTACGAAACTAACTGCTCACCGCTTGATGGCGTTGTATGCTTTTAATTCGCGTTGATAAAGTTGTAGTACCTACTTTAAATGTGTAAGTTAACAAAAACTCGTGTTCAAAAACGATGTTTGCTTAAGTGAAGCATCAAATCGAAACGCACAGCGTTGAATAGAGCTCTGTGATTGGTTCGTGTGTCACCCTGTGCGTCCACGCGCACTGTGAGACCTCAGTAATGTTAGTGAATACGGGCGTAATTGTGTAAGTGAACGTGAACGATGTTTAGAGCACATATTACACGTTGTGGTTAATTTTGACAGTGGTTTTATTTCGCCTACATCTTAAAATAGTTTTTTTTTTATCCACAACGAGTAAGCGCCTGTATCTCACCTGATGGTAAGTGACGATCAGGCCGGAGGTGGAAGCGAGCTTCACCCGGAATCCTCAACCTTAACCTTAATCCTTAATCCTAACCTTACCTCTAGCTGCCGGAACACAACAATGCTGTTAACATTGTTGTTATGGCGACAGACTTAGGTAAGATGGTGGTAGCTAGCCAGGCGGACTTAGAACAAGCCCTACCACCAACCAAACCGAACAGAAAAATCTGCCCCCACTGGAAATCGAGCCCGGGACCGGTTGAAGTATGCAGTTGTCATTTTGATTTTTAATTAAGTTTTCACTTCACACCAAATGTTTTTGTTTTTAGTCGGTATAGTGTGTTGTTGGTGACCTAAATTGATTTGTATTTCTCAGCGTACATGCGGCCAGACGGCTCGTGCGTGGTGCCACACTTCACGGTCGGACGACACAACTATGGGAACGTATTCTACGAGTGCGAAATGGACGTGGCTAACTTGGACCTGGACAAACTCGGTGAGTGGCAAGCATGTATCTGGCCGGTAATTTACATAAATAAATATAAAAACTGTTATGTACTTGTATTTTCTCACTAAACGTCTGAAATTCCTAAATTATGAGAGAAGAAAAACTAATTCGTCCTTTAAAATACATTCAGGCTCCAACACCTCACTGTTAATAAGAGATATAAAATATTTTCGAAGTTGAATGATATATTTACATTGTGCATGACATTTAAGCTAAATTGCGTTACCTATTTTTTAACCGACTCAAAAAAGGAGGAGGTTATATGTTCGACTGTATGTATGTTTTTTTTTTTTTCTATGTATGTTCACCGATTACTCCGTCAATTGTGGACCGATTTTCAAAATTCTTTTTTTGGTCGATAGGGTACACTTCTGAGGTGGTCCCATTGTCACCAAGTCAGGATCTGATGATGGAATCCTAGGGAAATCGAGGGAAACCCTCAAATTTTATAGGCACGTATATCGTTTTTCAAACGTTTTCTTAAGTTATTTAAGTATTTGCGTCTGGAAATCATCATCTCATATTGATGAGCTGATGATAGAAGGTAAAACTCCTTAATGCTTAGAAGTTGGAGGATGATTCTTTTAATTTTATAGATAAGTATAGTTTCTAAAGTTATTCAAGTGTTTGCATCAGATGAACGTTTCACGATCATCTCATCATGATGAACTGGTCATGATGGTACGTACAACTCCTTAACGCTTAGGAGTTGGAGGATAATTTTTGAAATATTATAGGTACAAATAGACCAACAGTTGTATTTTTTCATGTTTTTAAGGTGGGCTGACGGTTTAAGGTCTTTTTAGGTTGCCGATATGATAACCTGTATTTTGTAGGGATTATTATTTTACACTTGACATGAAGAATATAGTCTCAATGTACTGCCTACAGTGGTAACATCAAGGTAAAAATAAGTAACCAAAAAGCAAGAAATAAGTTAATTTTTATAAAAAAAAATAAAACCGACTCCAAAAAACATACACTAAAAAGTAGAAAAATAATTACTAATCTTATTTATTAGGACGAATTAATATTTATGTATACCATGATTGATACTTTTGGAGTCGGTGCCAAGATTATGAAACGTGTGAAGTTTGCCTGCACCGACTCCAAAAGTATCAATCATGGTATACATAAATATTAATTCGTCCTAATAAATAAGATTAGTAATTATTTTTCTACTTTTTAGTGTATGTTTTTTGGAGTCGGTTTTATTTTTTTTTATAAAAATTATTATTAAGATAAACCTATGACGTGCAATAAAATGCTTTTCAGGTAAATACCGAAAATATTGTTGAAATAGTACCTATTATTCACAAAGACATAACGTAAAGCAATATTCGTCATCATTCATATCATCATTCTAAGCTATTCAACCATTGATTAGTTTCATCTCAATACTTCAACCAGTCACAGACTTGAGTTTAATTTTAGCTTACAAATCTAAAACTACCCTTCTTTTCAGTCCACTTCCTGAACAAAGAAGTAATAATATACCCTGAAGACGCGGACAAACCGCCCGTGGGATCAGGGCTCAACCGTCGTGCAATTGTCACATTGGACCGTGTCTGGCCGCGTGACAAGACACAGAAGCGACCCATCACCGATCCGGACAGGTGAGTGCACACTACTAAAGTCCGGTCTGTGAGCACGTAGAATTTTGTCCAATGACCCCAAGCTACCCATCCTTATCGCTCGCGCGTAATTATATTGCTGTCGCGACTGTGCGACGGGCGCCCGCAGGTCATTGGACAAAATTCTACGTGCTCGCAGACCAGACTATACTACTATTTATCTAAGCATAATAATATTGTTATTGGTTGACTCAGACTAGCGCTCGAATGAGGGTTTTCGCGATTGAAAAATCCGCCAGATGGCAATACGTAGACGCGAGGTCCAAATGCTGCATGATTGGTTATTTTTGACATGACATTGACAGATATGTCAAAATCCACCAGTCACGCAGCATTTGGACCTCGCGTCTACGTATTGCCATCTGGCGGATTTTTCAATCGCGAAAAACCTCAATGAGGCAGTTCTGGCCATTGTATGGTCCATTGATTTATTAGTTTAGATTTATTAGAAGACATTTCATGGCCCATTTCATAACGTGACGGAGCACAAGTTTAAAGCATATGTGAAGTCTCGCTGACATTATCACAAGCACTGACCTCAGGCACTCACTCAGTTATACGATAGACCTAAAGTTGTAAACTACATCTGTCTCTCTCCCACAGGTTGCTTCTAATGGAGTGCGAGGCGAAACTGCGACGCGTTTGCGACAAGCACGATACCAAGTTTGTGGAGTACCGCCCGCAGACTGGCAGCTGGGTGTTCAGGGTACGTAGCACCATCAACATCAGCATCAGGTGAAATCAGGTCATAATAGTCTAGTACGATCCTCTAATGTAGAAGTCAATATCACCTCTAGTAGAACTGTTTTTATGAAAAAAGCCATCGATTGGTATAGTCTAGCCGTCAAATGGAACAGTCGAGCCATAGGATGGAACATTTTAGCCATCGAATGGAACAGTTATCCATCGCATGGATAATTAGCCATCGCATGGAACAGTCTATTCATAGCATGGACCGGTTTAGCCATCGCTTGAAAAAGTTTAGCCATCACACGGAACAGTTTAATCATAGCATAGAACAGTCTAGCCATAGCATGGAACAGTCTAGCCATTGCGTATGGAGTACAAGGCCAAACTGCGGCGCGTGTGCGACAAACACGACACCAAGTTTGTGGAGTACCGCCCGCAGACTGGCAGCTGGGTGTTCAGGGTACGTAGCACCATCGTCAACATCATCATCATCATCATTAGGTCATATACAGGGTGTTAGGTAAATGGGTATTTGAGCCGACACTAGCTCATGTTAACATATGCATATAAATGGTATGGTGAAGTCAGAAAATTGATGACATCATTTTAATTATTTTAATTTTCATACAAACATTATTTTATAAATTTTATTTTGTATGAACATTTAAAAAATTTAAATGATGATATCAAATTTCTGACTTCACCATACCATTTATATGCCCATGTTAACATGGGCTAGTGTCGGCTCATATACCAATTTACCTAACACCCTGTAGAGTCCACTGCTGGAGAACGACCCTCTAATGTAGCAGAGGCCAATACCACCACCTTTTGTAGAACTGTTAAGCGGTTAGCCATTGAATGGCATAGTCTAACCATCAAATGGAACAGTCAAGCCATGAAATGGAACAGTTATCCATCGCATGGATGGTTTAGCAATTGCATGGAACAGTTATACATAGCATGGATAGTTTAGCCATCGAATGGAACAGTCTAGCCATTAAAGAAAGAAAGAAAGAAAGATACATTTATTACAATGGACATCACACATTAAACGGAACACTTTAGCCATCACCTGGAATAATCTAGCCATAACATGGAACATTTTAGCCATCATATGGAACAGTCTAGCCAACACACGGAACAATCTAGCCATCGCATGGAACAGTCTAGCCATTACGTATGGAGTACGAGGAGGATTCCTCCCGCACGTCTCCTCCTGTGCGTCAAGACCGGTCCGCGACAACCATCACCTTTTGTAGTACTGCTAAGCCGTTAAGAACGGTTAGTCATCGAATGGTATAGTCTAGCCATCGAATGGAACAGTCTAGTCATCGGATGGAACAGTCTAGCACATCGATTGAAACAGTTTGGCCATCGAATGGAACTCTAGTCATCATACGGAATAGTTTAGCCATCGCATGGAACAGTCTAGCCATCGAATGGAACAGTCTAGCCATTGAGCCAAGAGTGATTGTTATCAAAACGTTTAAAACCTTCTTCTCAGTCTTTCTTTTGCAACCACGTGTGTAACCTTAACATTTTTCTCTACAGGTGGAACACTTCAGCAAATACGGCTTGACCGATTCGGATGAGGAAGACGACGGTCCCACACCCGAAGTGCTGAAAAGACAGCTCGTCAAAGACACGGTGCAGAAAGCCGCAGCGCAACCAGGTATGTTTATAATAAAACTTATCTAAAGTAGTTCAGTGGTTAAACTTTTACTTGGTAGTAACTGAATTGTTACCAATGAATTTTGAACTTTATTGAAATAACATACAGTTCAAAACCAATGAAATTTTTTTTTTCTTTACCAGTTTAAGTGTTAAGGCCGATTTCCGCCAAAGCTTATACGTGCGATAAGTGCTATAATCAACCAATAGAAAATCGTATTTTTTTACGTCTTGTTTCCTCACATCTCGTCTTAATAAATAGTTATGGCCCTCATTAATATTTTTTAAAGATCAGTGTTATCCTAGTTAAACTCTAATATTACTTCATAACAATAATGTGGGCCAAATTCTTATTAAATTTATTTTCTTCTCTTCCTTTCAAAACGCAGTTCTTCTGTTGTACCTCTTCCTATTTCTGCCATCTTGTATGTAATAAATTAATAATATGTTAAACACAAAAAACTCAACTTCGAATTACATCTTTTTTCCCCAGCACCACAGCCCACTGCAGTCCAATCGCCCGGCCTCGGAGGTTTAGGCGGCCTCGGAGGCCTCGGTGGCCTCGGAGGCCTCAGCGGTCTTAGCAGTCTGGGAGGCTTGCCGCCGTCCGAAGACACGTTGTTGGCTATGCATCAGACGTCGCTTAATTTACTCAATGGAGCTGGGAAAGGTGAGTACGGAATAAAATTAAGTATCGGTGGTCTTAGAGGCCTCAAGAGTCTTATGATGCCTCGGCGGTCTCAGAGGTCACAGCTGTCTCAGAGGTCTCGGCGGTCCCTGAGGTCACAGCACATCAATGTATCAAATGCCAAATCTTAGTTTTAACTAAGATATTGAATTTCATTTCATCATAATGGTAAACCAAATAAGTATCAACTAACAACAGTATCATTTCTTTAGATTGTTCTTATTATTTGTGGATTTGTTTCAGCATTCGAAATGGACACCACTGAAGACAATACGGAGTCTCAGAGCTTGTATCAAGACAGCAGAGGTAAGCTATACTTTGCTAAATCTATTTTATTTCTAAAAACTAAATAAATAAATTGTAGAGTCGATACATACTATTAATTATTAATGTCCTACTTTAAACTCGAGTCAACGTTCGATAATGGGAAATGATGTATCCACCTGTAAAGGCATATATTTTAATATTGTACCAACTCAACACTGTATTATTGTTATATGTAAAGTTATATGTCGTTGGTGTATCTTTTTCAATAAATAAATAAATTATGAAAAATCTAAAACGTTAAAATAACGGTATAGTTCCAAAATACTGAACTGTCCTATCGATGACATTGACAGCGGGGCGCCACCGTCAATACCGAATCGCTGGTTCCGATTTTTGCCATGTTGGAAACCATAAAGTTGAACGATGGTAGCGCCCCCCTGTCATTGAGTTTGGCGGGACAGTTCAGCGTGGGTCATCTATATCGTTGTGGCCAATGAGATGCTGTCATAGTGACATTGACGTAATGTCAATGTCACGCTAGAATAGAGAGACGCGCGGTGACGACTCCCCGCGCTTTTGTGCTAAGTGATGAATGGTATCTAAAATAAGGCAATATAATGTGAAAGATGAGTACCCAGTGTTTTATTTATGAGAATAGATCTACCGGCCTCTAAAAATACCAACTTTATGTATTAAACAACTGCTATTTTCTAGCAGTCACCTATACATCTGGTTTTGTTTATAGCCCTGTTCCTAAGATTTTTCCATATTTTATTGATTGATGTTATTGTGCCTTATCACAAAAAAGTTAAACACGCATTGGTTCAAAACTAAATGACTTTAAACAAGTGTTTAGGGTGGACCGACGACATCGTAAAGGCACAGAATAATAATAAGTANGAAGAGACAAAAACAAGGTGGTCTATATCGACTGGAAGTAAAACCCGTACTGCCAGAAACACCACCCGAAGTCTTTGCAACTACAGCAACGATGCAACTGTACCACGAGAGACTCGCTCACCAAAATAAAAGACACGTAAGAGCGACTATCCAACGGGAACTAGGTCTAAACTTGCCGATGGATAAAGAGACCTGTGAAGGCTGCATCTTTGGAAAGGCGCATCGACTTAAATTCGGTACAAGAACCCGAGCTACCGAGCCCGGAGAAATCGTACACACCGACGTTTGTGGACCGTTTCAACCTAGCTTCTCAAACTATAAGTATTACGTTTTGTTTAAAGACGACTTTACCGGCTACCGTATGGTGTACTTTATACGCAAGAAGTCCGAGGTCAAAGACAAGTTAGTTTTGATGATCGCTCAAACTAAAACAGTCGGACACACCATAAAATGCCTTTTGAGTGACAACGGCGGCGAATTTGATAATGCGTCCATAAAAAGTGTTTTAGACACTCATGGAATAGTACAGCGACTCGTCACCCCGTACACACCGGAACAAAACGGAGTAAGCGAAAGGGAGAACAGAACCCTAGTTGAGACAGGCAGATCGTTGATGTATGCTCATGAGCCTTTACCACAAGTGCTTTGGGCAGAGCTCATTAATACCGCGGCATACATTCTGAACAGAACAGGTCCCACAAGTTCAGGTAACAAATCTCCGTATGAACTTTGGTATGGAAAGAAACCTATTATTAAACATCTTCGAATAATAGGCTCAACCGCATACGTCCATATCCCAAAGCAGAAGCGTAAAAAACTCGAAAAAAAGGCGATAAAAGGTCGACTTATCGGGTATGATGAAGACTGCTACCGTATCTGGGTCACAGACGGGAAACACTCGACGCTCGTCCGCTCTCGTGACGTAATCTTTGATGAGAAACCTCTTTCGATCTGTGATAGTGAAATTCCTAGAACAGAAGTTGAGACAAGAGAATATCCGGTTTTCATAACGCCAAAACCGAACATAGAAAGAGAAGTTACAGCTCCAGAGCAAACTCACGTTCACGAGGGAGATACACCCGAACCGATTTCCAACGACCATGATCATGTTCTCGAGGGAGAAGAATCGGATCAAGTCCTCCATGAAGACCATGAACATGAAGAAGAAACGACAGTTCCAGAAGTATTTTATGACGCTGAACCACCGCCAACCGGCTATAATCTTAGAGATCGTTCACTGATTCGACGTCCTGAGAGACTAAGAGATTACGTCTGTATTACTGAAACATTTCCAAACAATTTCGCAGACGCTATGAAAAGGGACGATCGCGAAGAATGGCAAAGGGCAATGGATAGCGAATTGAAATCCTTCGAAGACCTGAACGCTTGGACACCGTGTGCACTGCCAAAAGGACGAAAAGCACTTCCATGCAAATGGGTTTTNTATAGGGCTGACTTCGGTAAAATGATGTGACGTGAGGTGCCAAACTGCGGAAAATGGCGGAGGAAATACATGATTTAGCATGAATTATCATGAAATATATTAACTACTTATTTACCTCTCAGTGTCTTGAGACAATTTAAAAAAGTACATTCTGTGTTTTTATTATAATTTAGGCAATTAAATACTGCACAGTATTTAGTACACCATTTTCTTTATTTTCTTCCATCATACACAAGAATACGCGTGCGTGAGTCAATGTTCGCTCGTATGTGAGGCCTTGTCGAATAGTATCCTGTAGGTGGGCCATCGTGCGTGTTTTGTTTTTGATGTAAACTCGCGGAGATGAACAGGCCTGGTAAAGGTAGCAGGGAAGCGCTGGACGCAGGCCGCTACCAATCGATCAACATGGAAAGCATTGGGGGAGGCCTATGTTCAGCAGTGGACGTCCTATGGCTGAAATGATGATGATGAATTGTTTAGCAGGCGTTTCACTTTTTGTAATAAGCTTCAAGTTTGTGAAAACCATAGTAAAAATACCACTCCAAACTCTACCCACTATATCACAAATAACTGATGTCATTTGTTTCCCAGCGTTGGGCGTCAAGAGTCCCACTGGCGAGCTAGCACGCTTGGAGCACAGACAAAGCCACCGCCATCAGCTGATGAAGGCTTCGCTGTATGCTGACATTGGTAAGTAACTGACTTAAACGGGACCTCCACCCACAAGGTGGACCGACGACCTCATAAAGGTAGCAGGAAGGCGCTGGATGCAGGCCGCTACCAACCGGGCGATGTGGAAATCATTGGGGGAGGCCTATGTTCTGCAGTGGACGTCCTGTGGCTGAAATGATGAAGATACAGGACTATTTCCACCTGCTACTCCTGTGTAGTCAGGATCTACAGCTTGACCGCCAATGACCCAACCAGTGAAGGCCAAGTTTGTCCCGGGGGAAAGTTAAACTGTCATTGGACCCGCAACGAAATTAATCAGAAGAACATAGGAGGTAGAGATGGGTTATACTAGGTAAATTTGATACTAGGTGCACCTATTCCAAGTATTTATTAATACGTGATCCAAATACCTGTTCCACTTAGTACGTAGTAATTTACCATACTTGACGCGACTAGTGCGGAGTGCGGACTAATCCACGTATTATGACTTTAAAATACAATTTTCTTTGAAAAGATACAACCGTAGTATTAATAATGCAATTCGAAATTGAATAACTTGTAGAATAGAATGTTTCTTCTATATAAAATAAACACTTCAAAAATCGGACGTGTGACGGCTCATGTCAAACTGAGAGTGTTCCATTTCAACATTTTTTCACATCGCTCACAAAACGCTTACAGATTAAAGAAATATCACAGATATCGCTAAATTTATCAACGTTGATGTCAAAAATAGCAAATCTCCATACATGTAAAGGAACACGCCCACATTGACAAAGAAACACAGACAAAAAATCTTGGTGACAAAACTCCCCATGGGTCATCTACTATAGATGACCCACGCTGAACTGTCCCACCAAACTCAATGACAGGGGGGCGCTACCATCGTTCAACTATATGGTTTCCAACATGGTAAAAATCGGAACCAGCGATCCGGTATTGACGGTGGCGCCCCACTGTCAATGTCATCGACAGGACAGTCCAGTATTTTGGAACNGCAATGGATAGCGAATTGAAATCCTTCGAAGACCTGAACGCTTGGACACCGTGTGCACTGCCAAAAGGACGAAAAGCACTTCCATGCAAATGGGTTTTACGGATCAAAAGAAATCCAGATGGCTCGGTCGACAAATACAAGGCTCGACTTGTCGTAAAAGGATACAGACAAAGGAAAGGAGTAGACTATGACCAAACCTTCAGTCCTGTGGCACGCCTGGCTACTGTACAAGCACTACCTCGTCCGTCATATGCAGTTCTACGCCAGGCGCTAGGATTGTGTACCTACTATGTAAATGTTTAGGGAACTTGTTGGAGTTGATAGACTTAGAAACTCCTTACAAAAGTAAACATAGACATAGATAGTGACAATCTTGTGAAGGAAAAAACTTCTGTCAGTTGAAAAAGTGTCAAGTATAAACAAAAATAGAAAGAAACTGTGATTCCGTTTAAAATCTAAAACATCCGCGAAATTAACTAGAATTAATAAAAGTGTGTTAGTATATTATTCGTAACTGCATGCGCTCTGCGTTTCAAAGATCAGAGGACTGTGCTGGTAAGATCCTTGAATCACATCAGGTTACGGGCCCAGACTACGAAAATGGAAGGTATTACAGGAAAGCTTCAGATCGGCCTACTAGATGGAAAAAACTGGGACACCTGGAAGTACAAAGCCTTATGCCTACTACGCACCGTACCGTCGGCTCTAGAAGTAGTAGAAGGATTGTTCCAGGAACCCACTCGTCCACCTACCGGATGCGGCGATGCTGAATTGGCAGCTTATCAACAACAGAAAGATAAGTTTGATAAAGCTGATGCCAGTGCTATCCTTATACTTACCACCAATATGCAAGAAGACACACTTCGAAAAGTTATGCGGTTCACTAAAGTACGTGATGTCTGGTTAGAACTCCACAGGCTGTTCGACGGAACAAATGAGGATAAAACCTACAACCTGTGTATGAATTTCTTTAGCTTTAAGAAGGATCGAGCAGTCGACTTAGCCACCCACATGTCAAACTTAAAGAACATCTGGACTGAATTAAATCAAGAACTCAAGAAGGACAGTAACCAAGAGCTACCCGAACTGCTACTTGTTTGTAAAATACTGGACACGCTTGACGATTCATACTTCAGCTTCAGAAGTAGTTGGCTCCTCCTGCCCAAATCCAACCGTACCATAGAAAACCTAACCAGTCATCTCTGCGCATTTGAAAGAGCACTGCAAGGTAACAACGCACTCTCGCATCAATCGGAAGCCCTGGTTTCGAATATGGAGAAGAAGAAGGACAAGAAGCTTAAATGCAACTACTGTCTAGGTATTGGCCACAGAGTACGCAACTGTCAAAAATGGATCCGTGATGGTAGACCTCCTAAGAGTCAAAATCCGACCCAGACAGAAACGCCTTCTACTTCAAAGACCGCTAACTTGTTACTGATGTCTTTAGAAGACAACGAAATCTTCACAGTTTCACGGGACAACGAGAACTGGTACATCGATAATGGCGCAACAAGCCACGTCACCAACAGAGCTGACATTTTCCAAACCTACGAACATTTCAATGAGAACTACACTGTTACAACGGCCGCTGGTAATGAAGTCCGTGCCAAAGGCAAAGGAACAGTACAGCTCAGAGGATATGTTAACGGGAAACAAATCGACATCAGCCTGCAAGACGTCTGGTACGTTCCGGCCATAAGCAAGAACCTCTTCTCCGTACTCGCACTTCACGACCGAGTCCCGAATAGCACCTTTTCATCCAAGACAACTGAATGCAACGTCATTGTCAACGGGAAAGTATGCTTAATAGGGAAGAGACNTATTGTCCTTTGGCACTGTTTAGTTTGCTGGGGGGTTAAATAAATTGTGTCACTAATATAATGACATTAAAAATGTATTTATTTATTTGTATTTAATGTACCGATTTATGCAAAATAAACAAATATTTTATGCTTTCTGGGAATGCAGCAATAGAGCAACAAATGAAATCATCAGGTAATATAACTAGTCCTAAGTTCATTGGAAAAGAATATTATATGAAGTCTATTTAATATTTTACGCAACTCAAACGTGTGTTGTGATTTAATCGTAGTACCTAACTAGTAAATGTTGTGTAATATCTAGAAATCCTTGATGGAGCCAATTACCTAGCAATTACTGACGGGAAAGAACTGGCAATTAAATACTGCATTTCAGCTAGCCTTGGATAAGTCCTACTTGTATCACTTACCTTATAATCTAATTCTAACTTATGGAACATACTCAAAAAGAAATAAGTTTAAATTTAGTTTTTTCAATGATTATTCTAAGCATCCAAAGTTGTCATGGAAATAGCGCCCTTTTAAACCATTTGACTTTTCCACTTCTATGATATGATTGTATAGTAACTTGAACTTTATTGTTTTGTTAATCCACGCTAAATTTTGTCAGTGTGTGCGTGCGCGCCGCTTACGTATTGGCGCGCTCACATACAAACCGCGCTCGATGCGTTTCTATGAAGATGACCTACTCATTTGTATTTACTCTGCCGAGATGCCAGTGAAATAGTTCCGTATTGGGTTTACCTCACCACGCGAATTTGGACCTTGTTGACATGTCTTACGTGTTATTTCCGCACAGCGCCGGGCGCGCCTGAGATGGAGGTGGAATAGTCCCACTAGGTATACCTTCCGTAGGAGAACCAGAGTGACTGACATAACCCGCAGAATCGCTAAAATCAAGTGGCAGTGGGCGGGGCACATAACTCGTAGAGCTGATGGCCGCTGGGGCAGGAAAGTTCTCGAGTGGCGACCACGAGCCGGAAGACGTAGCGTGATCAGGCCTCCCACTAGGTGGACCGACGATCTGGTGAAGTTCGCGGGAGGTGCCTGGATGCGAGCGGCGCAGGATCGGTCTTCGTGGAAATCCTTAGGGGAGGCCTTTGTCCAGGCAGTGGACGTCTTTCGGCTGAACCGAACGAACGAATGAAAAAGGTATACCTTACCACGTAAATTTGGACCTTATTGCCNTTTTGAGTGACAACGGCGGCGAATTTGATAATGCGTCCATAAAAAGTGTTTTAGACACTCATGGAATAGTACAGCGACTCGTCACCCCGTACACACCGGAACAAAACGGAGTAAGCGAAAGGGAGAACAGAACCCTAGTTGAGACAGGCAGATCGTTGATGTATGCTCATGAGCCTTTACCACAAGTGCTTTGGGCAGAGCTCATTAATACCGCGGCATACATTCTGAACAGAACAGGTCCCACAAGTTCAGGTAACAAATCTCCGTATGAACTTTGGTATGGAAAGAAACCTATTATTAAACATCTTCGAATAATAGGCTCAACCGCATACGTCCATATCCCAAAGCAGAAGCGTAAAAAACTCGAAAAAAAGGCGATAAAAGGTCGACTTATCGGGTATGATGAAGACTGCTACCGTATCTGGGTCACAGACGGGAAACACTCGACGCTCGTCCGCTCTCGTGACGTAATCTTTGATGAGAAACCTCTTTCGATCTGTGATAGTGAAATTCCTAGAACAGAAGTTGAGACAAGAGAATATCCGGTTTTCATAACGCCAAAACCGAACATAGAAAGAGAAGTTACAGCTCCAGAGCAAACTCACGTTCACGAGGGAGATACACCCGAACCGATTTCCAACGACCATGATCATGTTCTCGAGGGAGAAGAATCGGATCAAGTCCTCCATGAAGACCATGAACATGAAGAAGAAACGACAGTTCCAGAAGTATTTTATGACGCTGAACCACCGCCAACCGGCTATAATCTTAGAGATCGTTCACTGATTCGACGTCCTGAGAGACTAAGAGATTACGTCTGTATTACTGAAACATTTCCAAACAATTTCGCAGACGCTATGAAAAGGGACGATCGCGAAGAATGGCAAAGGGCAATGGATAGCGAATTGAAATCCTTCGAAGACCTGAACGCTTGGACACCGTGTGCACTGCCAAAAGGACGAAAAGCACTTCCATGCAAATGGGTTTTACGGATCAAAAGAAATCCAGATGGCTCGGTCGACAAATACAAGGCTCGACTTGTCGTAAAAGGATACAGACAAAGGAAAGGAGTAGACTATGACCAAACCTTCAGTCCTGTGGCACGCCTGGCTACTGTACAAGCACTACCTCGTCCGTCATATGCAGTTCTACGCCAGGCGCTAGGATTGTGTACCTACTATGTAAATGTTTAGGGAAAGTGTTGGAGTTGATAGACTTAGAAACTCCTTACAAAAGTAAACATAGACATAGATAGTGACAATCTTGTGAAGGAAAAAACTTCTGTCAGTTGAAAAAGTGTCATGTATAAACAAGAATAGAAAGAAACTGTGATTCCGTTTAAAATCTAAAACATCCGCGAAATTAACTAGAATTTATAAAAGTGTGTTAGTATATTATTCGTAACTGCATGCGCTCTGCGTTTCAAAGATCAGAGGACTGTGCTGGTAAGATCCTTGAATCACATCAATAGGTATAATGTTCGTCGTACGTTAGATATTCAATTGAATTTGAGTCTTATTTTGAAGGTCATAAGTTCCTAAATGCCTTGCAGCTAACCAAACACCTAACGTTATAATTATCACGCTTGCTTGAGAGTTGTGGAAATAACTTCGTTTAAAAAAAACTAGTTTTGAAAACGTTATTCGTGATTCGAAAACCGTCGCGTTTAGTTATTTCAAAAACCCATAACGACACATCTTTACAACTGACGGACGACAGCAACAGATTAAAAATTTAAAAACTACATAAAATAACGAAGACGTTTTGGAATAGAAAGCTTTATGGAGACGGTAAAGTTTAATCACACCTCGTACAAATGTTGATGATTTGTAAAATATGACTTCTTGATTAAACTTTCTATGATTATTTTATTTTCTTTCCTTGCACAAAGGCTTAGTATTGCCATTCAGCGAGGAAATGCAGCCAGCATTCTCGCCTCTTTGCCTCACGGACACACTTTTATTTTTGAGTAAAATAAGTTTATATTTTTATTTTGTTTAGAGTTAAGTTTGCCTTAGTTTTAAAAAAAAAATCTGTTTTTTTAGATTGATTATTTTTAATTTACGATGGATTCCGAACGCAAAATGTATCCGTCATTTGTCATGTCAAGTTGTTTGTCACCAATGTCAAATTGACATTTTAAAGTTTCATACTTTCGTGGATTTATTTTTGGAGGTTATTATCATGTTGGTGCAAAAGTAAAAAGCAATTTTTACTTTGACATTACATAATAAGTTAATGCAACGCTACGCAGTATTTCAAACTACATTACAGTTTCTTCTACGCAGCGTCACTCTTTAAATTACCGAAGTTTTTTGGACTAAAAGATGTAAGTATTAAACAGCTGACATTTCAGCAAAGTTTTACCGAATTTTGAGTCTTATTTAATTCCACAAGAAAACATAGGTTATGTACCGTGTGTATGTTTCATGTTTTCTACTAGTGCATGGCCTCTAGATACAAATCCTGTGTGTTGCGGCAATTTTTCGTCAATTTTTGATGTGCGACATTTAATTTTAATAACTTATTTCAATGTTATTTTTAAACGAATGGTTGATAGGGTAATGTTAATTATCGTGCTTAGACTAATAATGAAGCCATTAGAGTAGCAGACATTGCTGTAAAACAGTATTTATTTAATTAACACAGTCTGTCTATTTGTTCTAGGTGTGTTATAATTTGCTAATGACATTGAGAAGAGTTTTCTCAAAGGCATATACAACATACAAACAGGCTGTGGACGATGCATTCAATCGCAAAAATCTGTTTTACACCAATGTCTTGCTATCCATGGGCATATCAACACTCGGTGATTTGTTGGAACAAAGTTATGAAATGCACAAAGAAGAAATTGAAAAGATAGACCTGGGTCGCACCACACAGATGGCCTTGTCTGGAAGTGTAGCCGGTGTCATCTGTCACCACTGGTACAGAGTACTTGACAGGATAATTATTGGCAGATCCCTTAAAATGGTGATCAAGAAACTATTTTTAGACCAATTTATATGTTCACCTGTGATAATCATGTCGTTTTTTGCGACAGTGGCTGTATTCGAAGAGCACCCTTTAGAAAATTTTACTGATGAAGTTAGAGATAAGTTTTGGACATTATACAAAGCCGAATGGGTTGTCTGGCCGCCGGCCCAGGTCATTAATTTTTACTTCTTACCAACAAGGTTCAGAGTGGCTTATGACAACACCATATCTCTTGGATATGACATTTATACATCTCATGTAAAACACAGCAAGTCTTTTAAAAGTGAAAGTTAAAAGTTCATGTATTGATGCTATGTGTGAGATAATCCAGTTGCATAGTAATAAATTGATAAGTGTTCATATGAAGTATTTCCTTTAGTAGATTTGATAATATAATGTAGATAAGAATAATTCAAGGACTTATTTTCAAAATAATTTATTTGCAAGATAAATAATAAAAGCATTTACTTGGTATCTTGGGACCTAAAATTGTTAGTAAAAATATTTTCTTGTTTCTACATAACTTGACTGAGTGTCACACTCTTCATTATCTAAATGTTTCTTTTGTTTCAGACAAGACACAATGCAAGCTCTTGGAATCACTTGGAGAAAGTTAGCCACAAATGTACAAAATTCCGGTCCATTTTCTAAATTTAAAAAAGTAGTTAGAATTGCTTTTAGTGACAAATATTTGTTGTACACAAATGTCACTATATCTATAAGCTTATCAGCATTAGGAGATAGCTTGGAACAATCATATGAAATTTATACAAAGGAGCAAGAGAAATATGACTTGAAGAGAACTATGCACATGGGCTTTTCAGGGGCAGCAGTAGGAGTTCTCTGCCACCATTGGTACAAAGTATTAGACAAGTTTATTATAGGAAAGACAGTAGACATGGTGATAAAAAAGTTGATTTTGGACCAGTTAATATTTTCTCCTGTTATGATCATCACTTTTTTTGGGAGTTTGGCATTACTTGAAGATGACCCTTTGGAAAACTTTAAAGAGGAAGTAAGAGACAAGTTTGTAACACTATATCGTGCAGAATGGATGGTGTGGCCACCAGCACAAGTAATTAATTTCTATTTTCTGCCAACAAGGTTTAGAGTATTATATGATAATACAATATCATTAGGGTACGATATTTACACATCACAAGTTAAACATAGCAAATCATTAAAAGCTGTAGTACCTAATGTAAGTAAAGAAGCAAGTAATGTCCATAAACCTTGTGACAAATCATGTTGACAACTAATACAAATTATGTAGGTTCAATTAAATAATTATTTTAGTAATAGTAGTCAATGAGTAATAGCACTTGGGGCTTTTTGCCCCCAAATAATTAAGTATCATTGTTTAGTGTTAAATCACTGATGTAACTTAAAAAGGAAAAGTGCTGTGATATTAATTAAATACGTAGCAATATAAATTATAGTAATTTATTGTTACTGTGACAGTTGTTAATTTTTAACTCATACAACAATTATACAAAGAATATAATTTTATTTTGATTACAATATGTTGTTTGTGTTTATATTACCTCTAGCTAGAGTGTTATTACACTTCAGTAACTTATTGTAAACATTTACCTATGCTATTTCTTAACGATACATCTTTTTTACTAATTAACTTAATATCGATTTCTTGCTTTGCCATCTAAAAGTTATCTAACTTTTAATAATTTTCTTATTTTGGAGTTAAAAAGAATTCTTCATCGGGAGAGTTTCGCTTGTTAGCTTTTAGATTATTCAATACGCTGTTAACCACAGAATTCTCGAAAATTCTCTCCGACCAAGACTCGGAGCGCCTGTTACGGCCTAAACTCGTAGGCACCCTGCTCATTCTTGGGGTTCCTCTATGTGAATAGAACGATCTTCTGTTGTCCCTCATTTCCAGAAGAGACGTGAGAATTTTGTCCAAAGTCGCTATATCGGCAATGTTGGAGTTCTTAGCATGTGCTTTTGCTGAACGCGGGGTAGATACACCAGTAAGGTTTAAACTGGACCTTTTCGATACGGGAGTGCGTGGTTGAAGTCCAATAGTGCGGATTACCTGAAACGCAGTTTATATTAAACACCAAATTAGTTATTAGGTACCTAAAAGGCTACAAGAAATTTAATCAGGGTGAGATTACCTCGTCAGCATTGTGACTTTGATAACTCATCCTCTTAACTTTGCGATAAGTTTCGTCGTCTACTGCCTCTTGAACTGCTGCTTCCAGCTTCTCTTTTACCTCTTCATCTGACACTTGATTCAGTTCTTCTAACACCAATCTGTAAAAGATATAAAGACTTGCCGTTGGGATTCATTACAAAATTGCTTGGTAAAGTAGTGTAGGGTACGTGCGTCATTTTATTCTTCAAAGTATCTTAATACTTACTCAGTGCGTTCATCTGCCTCTCCTTTATGCAAATTGCTTCTGTTAGCCTCTCTAGCTATTTTGATGTCCTGCTCCCAGAACCTGCGCAAATCTGGCGTGGAAGTGTAGGGTGCAGCCACCTCTTTGATCTTGAGGAATATTATAGCCGTTATGAATATGCAGATGACGTTAACTATTGTGAGGCAACAGCTTACGATACCTAAAATAAAACAGGGGTTTCATTATTCTTCGTTAAACGAGACCTAAATTAACACCTACGCATCTTAAGTTAATGCCAAAACCTATGTGAAGATTTCTTTTACCGTTTACTGCAAATTCAATCGGCAAGTAGTCGTGGTAGAGTGGCACATAGCTTGAATTGCCATAGTATGGTTCACCCTTGATATGAGGAATTTTCACACCAGGGTACAACAACCAAATACATGCTAGTGCCCAATAGAGACCCTGCAATAAAACAATCTGTAGAAGATGTTCCTAAATGAAAGGTATGTTTATAATGTTAAATTTTGAAGTAGGTATTAAAAGATTTACACAATTTACGACTGGAGGCAGCAAGGAAGCCGATATCGCTATGCCGATTAAAGGACCCGCACTGCCCTGCAAAAGGGCTAAGGCCACTCCAGTGCCTGATGTCAAAGCCCAGAGAACACCCATCCAGAGCGACCTTACATTCCCTCTGAAAAATAAAACAAAATCAAACTACCTTTCATTGTTCAGAGACAATTATAGCAGACGTTTGTTTACACTGAATCATTCAGTGTAAACAATCTGAATGATAATTATAGCTAATTAATGAATTATAAATACCGCGACTTCATTTCCTCTGTTGGCCAATCTCCAAAACCCCATGGCATCTCAGTCGTGCCCAAGATAAGTCCAAATATGAATCCAAATAGTAATGAGAGGAACATTCCTAAGATGAGACTCTCGAAGCCACTTCTGACCAGGCTTCTGTCGGAGATGATTGTCCCGAATGTGATCGACATCACTGGGCCCATAAGTGGAGATACTAACATAGCTGCTACTATGTTGGAAGCATTGTTTTCGACCAGGCCAAGAGCTGCCAAAGAGCTGCAAAAAAAGGAATAGGTATTGTAGAGTCATAGACGAATCATTTGCTTAACATATATAATCATTTGGGGAGGTACTCGTACCTGCTTGTAATTTCTTGGCTGAAAACTTGTATGGATTGACTCACCATCTACTTTGATACAATAGTTCTAAAGGCTACTTACTCTGCTGTTATTATTAACGTTAAATAGTCGAAAGACAGTTCGCCACCGCCTCTAACACCATCGACCACTTGCTTCACTGTGAGTTTCGACCTTATTGACTCTACGAAAGCTCTCCATCGTTTTGCGTCTTCAGTTTTACGTCTGTGCACGGAAGAGTCACTTAAAAATGGCAATTAAGTAATATAACTTTTATTGAAAGAGAGATGCTTTATGATGATGTTAATAAACTTACAATAAAGTGTCTTCGTCGAGTTGTTCGTTTTCTATAGCAGAATGTACGACGTTGCACGGTAGAACACTGTACAAAAAGAAATTGAAAATTTGGTTTGACGATATACCTACCTACTACACCTACCTATGTAGTTGAGGTCCTGGGTTTGATTCTCAAATAGTTTAAAATAACTTTGTTTATGTTTCAGGTTCCCCTTTTGATTAGATTGTTCCTACGATTGAGCTATGTCAGACGTAGGTATACTCGTAGCTGCTTATAAAAGTCTGTTTTTATATAAAATATTTTCAAAGAACTTGCCTCACAATGGATTTGCACTGAATTCCGATGCCTAGTTGCGTAAGGCAATGCAGCATGGTCTCGCATTCGTCTCCCGTAGGGAGCGGGAAGGTCACTTCGAAATAGTTTCCCGCCTTGTCACTCATCCATGAGACGTGTTCAACATAGAGTTTGTTCAGGAGCTCTTGCAGAATCTGCATATTATGACTGATATGACTCAATTTTGTAAAGCTTGATATTGCTTGACTTATTTCATACGAGTAAAAAGTGGAAATCTTGAAAAGATACCATTTTTGACCGACTTCATAAATTATTATCGTTAAATTTGCATTTTGAAACCAATTTGAAACTATCTCCCCCAATGTTTTACCTACCAATTTAAACAAAACATTGAGTCAACAAATTACGCGTTGTTTCTTATTTGCCCTTCACACCAACTTGGGTCGAAAGTTTTATAAATAATTTATCAATGTGATAGACTGAATTTGAATACCCAAAGGCCTTGTAGGTTAGGTATAGCTCAATTTTAAGCATAAAGGTACTATACGAAGTTGAAAATCAGATTGAATAATAAGTTAGAATAGCACATTTAGGTGGTGTTATCGCTATGATGCTATTTCTTCCATACAATCCGAACAAAAGTGACTTTAAATACGGGGGCAAATTCTATCGCTACCTATATGAAGTAAGGATTAGGTGTGTATACCTACTTCATAAAAATGTTACTCACGCTCTCCATAGTGAAGTATTCAGCATCTTCCTTTATATTTTCCAAAGTGGGGTTGAACCCTTCATTATAATACTCTTGAGTCAAATGTATCGGGATGCTCTTGGACTTCTTATTTCGCAACTCGACCTCCATTCGGCAGGGTTTGTAGGGCACATCCTCAATTGATATCATATCCTTCGGTTTTCCAAACCTTAGGATATGCTCGTAGTTACTTGACGGTATGAAAATGACGAAGACCACCCCAGACGGCATTTTGCATGGGTTGTAATGTCATAGGATTGAGAATTGTGACTGAGGACATCTCAGTGTCTTCCGTAGTTAACAGCTTGTTATAGCTCATTAGAGTCTATGTGTGGTGATTATGACTGCGGCAAATTATATAACGGCTGCGGCAGACTTTGAATTTCATCTCTCTTACAATGAAATAAACATAACAGATTAGGTATACCTACATAATGTCCACTTTGACCCCTATATACATGTTTTAGTATTTACGCTGGCTGACCTTAGCTACGTCTACGAAAGTTGCATAAGTTTACACACAACCTCACAATCGATCCGGAGGTCAAGGGCGCAAAACCTTTAGCAGGTGAGCCGAAAAACTGCGTACCTACCTACTTACCTAGATAATTTTCCGTAGTGGACATTTGAAGACAAGAGGCTTACCAATTAGAAACACTACAGTTAAAATTGAATGATTCTCTGCGTCGCAATATGAAATTGTGTTACATATTAGATAGACAAATCTACAATAGATAGCTCTACATAAGTTAGTACTTATTAGTTGTCTTCATGTTGTAGGTAACAATACAGCTCACCAGCCAAAAGTGACAGAGAACCTGAATTAAAAAGTCTTACATCTTGGGTAAGTAATACCCACGTGATGGATACTAAGTAGATGGATCGTCAATATATGTTTTACTTAATTAGGAATTGTAAAAATCCAGAGCCTAACAAATATCCATCACATGTCCACGTCATACTTATTAGTGCTGAAAATAGAGCATATTAGGTATCTTGGGCAATATTTCCATGCTTAAAAGCCGCTTTATGTAAGTTTAATGGAGCTAAACCAGGTAAAAGAGATTAGATGCAGGCTCATGAGCCGACTTTAAGCGCCTTAAATGGCTTGTGTAACGACCACCGGCTGACCAAGATCTACTTCGATCCACTTAAAGTATCCTCGCAAAATTGGAATCTTTCTAATCTTCTTAAGAATCTTCGATACTTACCTACAAGTTGGGTAGCAATACTTTTGAGTTTACACAGTTTAATTAAGGGTAGGCTTTATAGAGTAGGCCTCTCGAACTTCGTTAACACAATTATTGGGATCGCTTTGCAGATAAGTAGAGCGTAGAAAAATAACATTCGAATTCGTAATCAAAATCATTACGAGTATCTAAGTTAAGTAGGTAGGTCCATTTCAGTGGACCTGAAATGGTTCTATTTTGCAACAAAATATTAGTCTGATGTGCTGTTGACTGTTTAAACAAAGGCGATTAGTAGTTAACGAATAAAACCATCAGCAATATCTCTAACAAGTGTTTATTTAAATAGGATTAAACCTAAGCGTATTCTTTCATTTCGCTCTATGAACTCATAAGATGGTAAAGATTATTCAATAAAAAATATTCCTATGTCTTAAATCTTAAATTAAACAAAATAGTAAAAATAAAGCAGGTGCTACATTATTGTTTGAATAAAAAATATAACAATACGAGTCGCAACCGCAAGTCGTACAAATAATTTTATTGAAAAAAAAAACATTAAAAATAAATATTGTAAACTGTATCACAGAATACTTATGTAGAGATTGATTTCGATGAAAATAACTAAGTAGTTCAGTTTAATCACAAAGTCCTTAATAGTCCCTAATGTCGGTTGGCGGTCCATCAATCACTGCATCACAGATTTACCGCACATGGGACAGTTCAATCAATCAAGTTCGAAAGTCGGAATAGAAGGCAGTTGTCTTAAGCAATTAATATTGAGGGGCACAATTATTCCTGACCTGATGTTAAAGTTTCTTGTAGGTATGTACTTATGTAGTTATATTTATCCTATGTTCTTCTGATTAATTTCGTTGCGGGTCCAATGACTGTTTACTTAACTTTCCCCCGGGACAAACTTGACCTTCACTGGTTGGGTTTTTATTGGCGATCAAGCTGTAGATCCTGGCTACACAGGAGTTGCAGCGGTGGGAACGAGAGGTGGGAATAGCTTCCGTTGTCCCTTTAGATTACGTTTCAGCTATCTGCCGAGTATCTATCAGCTGATTTCCGGTGACTCTATTTGCTAGCGATATCTCTAATCAAGATTTGTGAAACTAAGGAACTAAGCTAAGAAAGATTATACCTACCTACCAACCGAATTGAGAGCCATCTCCTTTTGTTGAAGTCGGTTAAAAAGCAAGAAGGCGTGTAACGTAAGTTTGTTGTTTTTAAGTTTTTAACTCTGGATATCACTACAATATAAAAACATTCGCTATAAAGGTAACATATATGGATGTAGTAACTAATAATAGTCGTATATAAAAGTGACTCTGATTAAGTGGGTGTTTCTGTTTATGAACATAAGTTAACAAAATCTTCCCTTATAATTTAGAGGTACCTAGTAGGTATATTAAACATGAAAAGTTTTATTTCCTAAAATAACACCTTGCTGCTTAGCGTCTACCGTTAGATTTGACGATGGTTCTATCGTCGGGTAGTGTGTTTTATATGATTCTTCCCCTTCTTTCCCTTCAAAGCATGTGTCATACAAGCTAAAGTCTTCCCGATCTAAAGATTTTAAGTTACATATAGATTTGTTTTCGTTGGAATACACGCTGGAGTCTAAACTAGGTTTTCCGCACTTTTCTTCATTTTCCATTCGGCTTTCTATATCCAGTGTTGATTGAGATTCGAAATGATGTGGAGTCAAGTTGTCAGTGGTTCTGCAAATAAGAATTCAGTTGCTACATCCAACAGTTGAAAACATTTCATGTAGGTAAATAAGCGGGTGTTGATAGAAACAGGCAAGACACTACCAGGGGAGACCGAAGTGAGTTGTAACATAGGAGAGTTGGGGTGGGACATTGTCGATTTTTGGGAACCCATTAACTGTTAGCACGCAAGAGATATTGCTCACCGCAACAGAGCGCATTCGTTAATTCCAGTTAAGTACGTGCAGTGGCGGGGCAAGACCTAAATTTGATGTGGGCAAGACAGATTTCGCGAGGCCTTGTTCTGTGGCGACCTGAAGACGGATTTTATGAAATAATAAAAAAAACGGGTCAATGGTCTATTCATTGACAGTTTCTGATTTCTTGATTCAGTGATTATTTTAAAGGAATTTTGCGCCAAAGAATAATGTTGTCACTTTAAAACCGTGTTGTTGCTTAATTTTATGTCTGATTATGGCTGAATTTGTTTGGAAAAACAATTTTTTTTATCTACATTGTTTAGCTATCAATAATTTATATTTAATAGTCAATGTTTCAAAATTGTTGATGCGCGAGGCCCCTTGTTCCGCGAGGCCGTAGGCGGTGGCCCACGTCGCCTACGCCTTACGCCGCCACTGAGTACGTGCTCGCTAGTAGTTAACAAGTTCCAAAAAATCGACAATGTCACAACTCTCCTCTCCTCTGTTATAACCCACCTCAGTTGGGTTGCAAAGTATTTAGGAGAATGTTTGAGTAAATTCTTGATTATGAATAGTGTACTCACTGAGAACCCTGCAGGTAGTCCTCAAGGTTCTGGGCCTTCGGTCGTAAGCCCGTCACGTGGCGGCGATACGTCACTGTGTCACTCTGGACTGGAGGCACAGCCTTGTCCGACGTCTTCTGAGCCTCGATTTGATCGTTACACCATTTACTGCAATTGGTTGATGAAACGCTTGTGACATTGTCTCTTGAACATTTAAAGTAGAGGTAATATGTTAGCAAGTGACGTCTTTCTTTACATTAGCAAAGTACCTAATACAAAACAAAAGCTTGTCTTTACCATCGTAGCCAAGTGTTAAGGGTGTTAAATGTACCTGTACATGTCCCAAGGTGCAGCCGGATCCTTATTGACTCTTGAAGCTCGTAGAAGATTTTTATTAGCTCTCCACCATGATATGTCTCTTCTCTCTAGCGGACATACTTCTTTGACCTGTAAGAAATACTTAGCAGTCAATTCCGAGGACAAGAGAAAATTAGCAACTAAGAATCGAATTCGTGATCCGCGGCGTTCAAGACTTTCTATGCCAGTCTGTTAATTTTGCACCAACCTTATAAACAGCAACTCCAGACAAGAATATGCAGAGTATATTGACCAACGTCAGACAGAGAGAGACAGTTCCCAGCAATGCTAACTCAGCCGCCGGGTCCGCGCTGTAGCGGTACGAGGTGATCACCCCGGAGAACCGAGTCTCGTCCTCCGCGAAAACCAGGTGTACCAGTGCCATCGACCAGAGCAGACCCTGGAATACAAAGGAAATATTATGTTGCCTAAGTTCCAGTGGTAGTGGGCCAACCATAAACTTCGTAGAGTCAACGAAAGATGGAGTAGACGATTATGTAGTGAAGACCACATCTCGGCCAAGGTAACTTCTTTAGATCACATGCTTGATGAATCGACGAATTTTAAAAGATAGCTGGTAGGCTGAAAAAGTGCTCTTTGGGTATAGCCATTACAAGCATAGGTGCTTGCGATAGTCGTCGGCACGGCGTGGTCTGAATCTGTAGGACCCCACGTCGTGCCAGTAAAACGCAGAGGGTGCACCGCAGGTTTTTAGTGGGTATACTTGTCGGGTGACAGCCGCTATTGCTGCCACCCGACAAGGGAGTCCCACATAACCCGTCGCTTCCCCCGAGGCGGCGGGTATACGCAAAGTATTTTCCTGCGCAAAAAAAAAAAAAAAAAGGTGCTTGCGATAGTAGAGCAATGCAGAAAGACTGGGAAGTGTAACCTTTGACGTAAAAGAGGTAATACGCCTGACGCACATTTTCTTCTTCTTCTTCTTTTCGTGTCGACAACAAACCTACACAGTGTCAGCCCAAAACTCCGCCACAAGAGTGGCGTTGTCAGTAGCACTCATCAAATCCTCCACATTTCCACATTTTCTTGAGGGATTGTCACGTTTCTTAGTTTGTTCGAAAATAAATAAATTCTGATAACAGTCAATTGATATGACTTACAGCATTCACTGCAGGTGGTAGCAAAGAAGCTGAGATGGCTACGCCCACCAAAGAAGCAGTGTATTCGCTGAGCACAGCCAGCGCCACTCCTGCACCGCTCGGAATCGCTACGAGCACGCCCAGCCATAGCGAACGGATCTCGCACCTAGAAAGAAAAACATAAGGTAGATAATACACTGGCCAGTTTATGACTATCTTGCCATAGACAAAGCAGCAAACGCACAACTCTACAAAACATTTGTTTTTACTTTTATTGCTAATCTATGGTTATCAGGCTAATAGAAGTGACTTTTTATTGAACTTTACCTGATTCAAGTGTTAAAAACCTACATACATTCGAATAGTTTTAGGTATTAAAAGTAGTGTTCCATTTAGACTTCATATTTCTGCGGCTCTACATGGAATTTAAAACCAGGAAAGTAAATGAGTGGCGAGTGGCGACCTTATTTCAAATGTATGCTTTCATTCCATTCAGTGTATGAAGAGGGTGACCTCATCTACACTAGCATACCCGACAATGAGCAAGTGCTATGTGGGCTGTAATTAATTTCGAGTACAAGTAATTAAAAAAATCAGACAAAAGATTGTTTTGTTTGATTGTTGATATTGTTTCACCACAATAGTCTACGGTACATACAGGTCATACAAAGTTCTCAATCACTAAGGTTAATTAAGTCAATTACCAAAAAAGCTGATCAAAACAGACTGCTGTCACATACAGAGAACATAAGTACTTAATTGTAAAAGAAAAAAAAATACCTTGACGTCATCTCTTCAGTAGGCCACTCGCCTACCCCGTAACGGTCATCGACCGCGCAGATGGTAAGGCCGAAGATGAACCCCATCACAAGAGCAAGGAATAAGCCCAGGATTTCGTGAAGAAGACCCATGTGTTGGAGCGAGCGGTCGCGGACTGCAGTGCCTAGAGTTGCTGCTGTGATAGGAGCCTGAAAATATAAAGAAGAACGGTCATCTGTGACCCAGGCCCGACAGAAACGAGACATACCTCATTTTTTTGTCATATCTTAATTAGTTAAATTATATATTTTTTATATTCGAAATCTATGTATAACACCAAAATATTACCCTTTGTTTTTGTTCAGGCGTTATACAAAAACTAATACAAAATGCTTATTTATCACCAAAATTGGTAAATGTATGTACCTAAATGTCTATTACAGCTGCTATGGAATGTATCTAGGTGACCTGGAGATACAGCCGGATTATACAGGGTGGAAACGAGAAGTTACAAAATCCAAAAATTCAATGTTACCTGCTTCCATAATCTGTAACCTATTATTGGTACCATTTGAAAGAGCTCGTGAAGCACTTTCAAAATCAGTAACTAGTTTTTCGATATCTTGTATAGTTTAGAAATAATCGAGTGAGATCACTTATCGTTCCATATGTATAACCACCCTGTATAATCCGGCTGCATCTCCAGGTCACCTAGATACATTCCTTAGCAGCTGCTGTAATAGACACATACATTTACCAATTTTGGTGATAAATAGGCATTTTGTATTAGTTTTTGTATAACGCCTGAACAAAAACAAAAGGTAATATTTTGGTGTTATACATAGATTTCGAATATTAAAAATATATAATTTAACTAATTAAGACATGACAAAAAATCTGATGTATGTCTCGTTTCTGTCGGATCTGGGTTTTTTTTGTATGGGGCGTGACCGTTCTTCTTTATTGATGAAAGTGGTTTTAAACTTAGCGTTTAGCGACTAAACGACTTTTAATAATAATTGAATGAGCTGTTTCATCTAATGTGACAGTCAAATATTTGTACCTACTTGACAATCTTTCTGTTTGATGTTAGGGTGGTAACTCCTACCCAACATTGATGAAACAAACGAGGCCGCAACCAGTGTCTAAGTAGCTCAGAGAGCATTCGCCCGGCAAGCGAAAGATCGGTTCTATTTCCACCTTAGGCAGTTCGATTTATTTAAGTTATTTATAATGAATAAAGTAGGTACTTGAGACTGTAACTTCGAAGGTTTGAAGCGTTTTTCTTCAACTTATTCTTACCATCAAAGGCGAAATCAGCATGCTAGCAACAATGATGACCGTGGAGTCTTCGACCAGGCCAATGGCGGCTACGAAGGCAGCCACCAGCAGGAGGAACAGCCAGTCGAAGGTCAGGGAGGCTTCAGCTCGGACGTCGTGGAGCACTTGGGCAAGGTTGTTGCGAGCGCGGACCGATGATGAGAAGCGGGACCAGGCTGAGTTCCCACTGTGAAGAAATGGCAAGGCAAGTAAAAACTTCTACTTTTTCTGTCGTATGCCGTATCCTCCGTCTGCAGTAATTATCCGTTGAAGCTGGGAACCAATATGCTCCTTTTATAAACAGACTTAGAGATAGGTAGGTAGATAGCTGTTAGAGAGTGCTAGATACTAGCAGTCAAAATGTCCAATGATTGGATTTTACAAAGTGTATAAGGAATAGACATAAACGTAGTTTAATTTAAATTTTTTTCTTCTGTATCTTCAGAAAAAGTCTTGTTACTATAATGAATTTCCCAACTATACCTACACCTATGGTGTTAGGGTTTGGCTTTATTTTACTGTTTACACCAGCTAATTAATTAAGCCGCATTCGCAAGTGATCGATGAAGAAAACTTACATTCCGTTTACAGAACGTTTGTTTGGAATCACTTAGGTAAGTGGCTTAAACCTACGTACGTAATGTGTATTACGTAATTCACTATTTGCGAAAAGTATAGTGAAAACTCACACCCGTATTCACAAACTTATGAGGTATCAGAGTGCGCGTGGACGCACAGGGTGACATACGAACCAATCACAGAGCTCTATTCAAGGCTGTGCGTTCGATTTGCCGCTTCACTTATGCAAGCATCGTTTGTGAATTTCTTAGATCTGTTCTGCAGTACAGAAACAGAACGTAAAATCCGATTTTGTTACAATTCTTCTGGTATTTGCAAACCCGTATTCAAAGCACACCTTCTCTATTTATATGAAGTAAAACCATGAAAGAGCTTTTCAAAGCATGTTCGTAGAAAATCTTGTCGTTTGTGAGGTTATCGAAATCCTCTTTGCTGCACTTGCATTTTATGCAGAAATATTTTGCGGTATTATTGGAGTATTGGAAAGTCTAGAATATGTTGAACTTGTGCGATAAAGCTTTTCTATAAGAATAAGAACTAGCGGCCGCCCGCGACTTCGTACGCGTGGAACCCGTTTTACCCCCTTCATCTATGTATCTTACGCGGTTTAGATTTTTTCATACAAATGTTTTTTCCGCTTACTCCCGTTCCCGTGGGAATCGCAATATCCTTTTGTAAATAAGCTTTAAGTTTACTAAGGTACCTGCATGCCAAATTTCAAGCGTCTAACTGAAGCGGTTTAGATTTTTTATACAAAAGGATTTTCTCGCTATTTCCCGTTCCCGTGGGAATTTCGGGAATTCCTTTCTTAGTGCACCTCTACGGTACCTAAGCTGCGTCCCTTCCAAATTTCAAGTGCCTACGTTTGCCGTTTAGGCTGTGCGTTGGTCTGTTATATATTTAAGATCTTTGGTTACTAGCTGAATGGTAACCGAATTAATTTGAGCGAAGAGGGTCTGGGATATTGATCATTTATAGTTAATTATTTTTGTTGTATGCTCCTCTCGCCAGATGTTGCGCTCAGTATAATGAGACCATAGGCTTCGATCTCGAAGCAGAAAATTGTTTACTTGTGTTGTGAGTAACTAGAATAATATTAGTATGACTATGGATTCTCCCAAAGTTTAGCAAGATAGGTAGCAAAGTAAGCAGTCTATATCTGAAAGACTCGATACTTTCGGTTTCATCGCGAAGTGACACATATGAGTACCTAACATCGTACCACAGTGTTTATCTTATCTGTAAAAAAGATTTACCTCTTCCAATTATCTCTGTACGACGTTTCCTTGTCTTCTTTATTGCACTGGTAAAACAAATTGCACGGTAGGACGCTCATGGATGACTGGTACCGATTGCCGATGCCAAAAGTCTTCAAAACTTGCAGCAACTCCTCGCATAAGTTGCCCGACTTTAAGGAGAAAGTCACCTGGAATAAAAACAAAAGAATGTAGTGTGTGCTAAAGGATAAGTACATTGAGATTTGCTTTTGAATACATTCGTAGAGGACAATATCACGTAGATGTCTACGCTGTTAAAACGATATCGATTTTATAATTTATATGTAACTAGCTTTACGCCCGCGGCTTCGCCCGCATGGCCTACATTATACAAAATTTAGCCTTTATTACTCGTGGATAATGTAGCTTTCGAATGGTGAAAGAATTTTTAAAAACGGTCCAGTAGTTTTTGAGCCTATTCATTACAACCAAACAAACAAACAAAGTTTTCCTCTTTATAATATTAGTGTAGATTGGGTAACGTTATTATTATAACTCTATTACGACTACAGTAATACTCCAGTAAATGGATAATTACTTCAATACAATGTAACACTTCACTCAATTTTATAGAAACACAGTATTTGTTACATTCTTTGTCCCTTTTTTATGATGAAGTTCGATATCAAATCAAGGGGATAGATTGGTGTTTTTTCTGTTTAGTATCAGATAACTCTACACTCATTCTACACTGCTACATGTTACATTGTGATCGATGGGTTCTGAAGTGCAATATCTTACTTGGTTCCCATGGTGTGCCATGGTCGCGGTGGTGGCTCATTTCAATAAAAATATGATGGTTTTATTGCGCGTGTAGAGATTCGTTTTGCGCACTGAGGAGTCCGTATACTCACTCTCAGTCCTACATCTCTTTCTTCTTTTTTATGGTAGTATTTTTGAGTCCACAAAAACAATAATACTAACTCTTGCATGTTTTTATTGTTGTCATAATGCTTACAGGTTCAAGTTACCGTATTACCCATTAGGATTGATATTTACCTAGACAAAAGCATGCTTACAGCTTCAAGTGATCGTACTTACACCCCTCAGGGTTTTATGTTTACTAGACAGAGGTTGCCGCTGCGTTTTAAGATATGATAAGTAACCTTGAAAAATAATTTGTTACTATGCTCTGGCATCCCAGTGTGATATGATCTATAAGGTATGTAGCAGCTTTCAAGCACCAAGTAAAGTAAATGACGTACACGACCTTCTATTTTCCTTTGAAGGAAACCTTTTGGCGACAGAGTTCAATGAACCGTATAAACAATGGAAAAATTTCCTTTGACTAGTTGAAAACTAGACCCTTTCAAGCTGCCTTGGAAGTTTACCATGGGTTGTTTGTTATTTACCCTTGAACTTGCTATGTTCAGGGGTAATAATTTTTATTGCCTCAGTTGCGGTCTTTTCTTCTACAGAATTGTATTTATTATAGCTAGAGACGCCACACAATCATATCTACGACAATAAAGAAAGTCGCTATCGATAGCTGTAGTCGTAGTACCTACTTATTCATTTTGATTTCTAAAAGAACCTCTAGTAGGGCTACCTACTCAATAGGGGAACTCCCGAGCATTCCACAACTGTAATTACATTTTCCAAACATAAATTAGCGTCATTAATGTTTAGAATCGAAGTTCAAAAAAGGGTTTTCCTCATTTTTACCAAGAATGAAAGGAACTGATGAATTTTAACTTAAATTTAAGGCAGCCATTAGCCTTATCAAAGATGCATGATCGGAAATGTCTTTTCCTTGTTTCGTGAATCATTTCAATGGCTACCGAATCAAATTAGGTACAATGCGATTGTTTACGATTTTGAACGATTCGCAAACAAAGAGTCTATAATTTTACAGCCGCCTACTTAGGCTTGATAGCGATTTGTTCCATAGAAAGTTAAAATAGTTTGATTGTCATTCCTAGCACGTGATAATGAGGAACTGTGATGATGGCAGTCAGTTAAGATTAGTATCAGACTAATGACTGCGGAATAGCGTATTCTTTGTAAACAACGTAATCTAGGTAATGTTTCGAAAAATGACATAATGCATAATTTGTTTGTTTTTGTATCTCTTTGTAACGTCATTTTATTTAAATGTTCGGTTTTTATATAAATTGTATCTCTTTTAAGCCTACAATTTTTTTTATGATTATCATCTAAAGGAAGTAATGAGGCGATGCCGTTCTAAGGACTAAACGTAATGTTTCACGATGAGTAGAGAACTAGAGAAACTGCTCCAAAGGAATTAATTTAATAAGTCAGCTCGAGTCGATGAAAATGCACCAAATGCTAATTACTTGATTGTCCTTAGATGGATAGATAACTGAGGAAATGCTTACCTTCCAGAATTTGTTGTCCCTGGTAGCATTCCATGCCGCACTATTGATGTCAAGACGCTCCAGTATCTCCGAAAGTATCTGAAGATTGAAACAAAGTTTTTCAGTAAAACTCGTTGGCAAAATATCATTCTTAGCCGGGTGTATGTATAAGTTGTCACTAATTAATATTAATATAATTTTACTACTTTCCATTTAAAGGCACTGAATGGACTGTAAATCAGTTCATCCATAAAAACAATAGCAAGAATAGTCAATAAAACATTTCAAATGTAAAATTATATTTATTTCACAATGTGTTTAGGAACTGTTTACCTGATAAGTAGGTATAGGTACCTATCTCGAAACGACTTTTCATAATAATTGTAATTATGCTTTACATGCATTTGCTTTGACTATAATTATCTTGTCGAGTTGAAACAATGAGAATCTACTAAGGAAATGAATGAGTTCTTATCTAAAAACCTATTTCACTAGATGTCTTTTATCAAGTACCAACTCAGATAATTTTGTTCCAAGTTTCAAACTACTCAAGACTCCGGACACACTCCGGATGAGGATTTTAACCTGTTAAATAGGTAACAAAAGCAACCCGAAAACTATTCTTCATTATAAGTACAAATTACTGATTGCGGCTGCACATTCAATTGATTGTAAACAATTGTAAAATGTTGGTAATTACTTAGGTAAGTACATAGAGCGTTTATAATGAGCGGAATTTCGAATTAAAAGGCTTTTACGGTCTCCGGCAACTATTTGGTAATCTCTTTGTTTTTGGACACAAATAAATACAATTTGATAATATTATGCAACTTTGTAAAGCTTACCCAGCTATGTAATAAATAAAATATTGAAAAATATTGACTCCCTAAAAATTTTCACATCAGGTTTAATCATTTGTTTACAAATTAGGTTACATAACCAAAAACAATTTTCCAAACATTTACCTTACATTTTAACCAAAAGAAGATGTTGAAAACCGTGCGGTTCGCTTGTTATTTAATTTTACCCTTACCGATTTTTGTCTCTACATTATGTGGACCAAACTAACACAGCATGTTATAAATTAATATTGTTCTAAAAGCCTAAAGTGAAGTTACAAACAAACACAGTATAGGACAAACTCGAAGTTTGCGTATATCCACCGCTCACAGGAGCAAGATTAATTTGCTGATGAACATAAACTTTATGTGGGTCACTAAAAGCTTTTAAATAAATAAACAGTGTAACCGAGTTTTTTTAAACTTTGAGTTTTGATTAAAGTTTTTGCTGTTGTTTTTGTTTCAAAGTTGACACAATTTTGTGAACGACATTGAGTTTTGAAGATGCTATCCCAAGCCTCATCACGTCAGACATTTTTCTTAGGATATGTTGTTGATGGCTATTTGGCGTAGGGTTAGAGCCTTATTTTTCTGTGATGCGGATTTCGGCACGCGTAGATTTAATCCGCATGCGGACTGCCCGCATTTCATTGTCTCATACGTATGTTTTTCCCATTACGCGAGCTACATGCAGCGGTTGTCTGCGGGCACATATACGAAATCTTTGTCCTGCATGCAACCACGTATGCGGGTATGCGGGCCAGATCCGCATGCATGCCGTTTTTTTTTAAAGATTTATTAGCAATTTGTATTGCACAAAATACTAATAGTCCCGTTATCCCCTCGTGGTAAGCTAAATAGCTTGTGTTACGAGTGGGCTCATCACAATAGTCGAGCGGCGGTGGGATTCGAACTCGCGTTCCTCGGATCTCGAGTCGGCCACTCCGACCCCTTCACCGTTCGGCTATCGTGGCTATAATTGAATTCTATAGTTAAATTGGTATCACAGGAAAAAGGCATTTACTGATAAGTCAAAGCGATAGTGCAATGCAATGTCGAATGCTATATTTTTTTTTTGTTTGATTCCTAAAGGGACTAAGCACGACAGATAAGCTATTTTAAAAGTTAGTCACAATTTAAGTGTCCATAATACTACACTTTCGCATACTCACAGTTTCAAGCGGCGTGTCCCAATGAAACGCACCCAAAATGTCAACCCCTCGCACCGGCCTAGTTATGTTCACTTTATTCCTCTTTGCCTTCATAACTTGTTTCACCTCTCCCCAAGGAGACTTCACGTACCTATCCCGAACTTCATTTAAAGTGGTCTCACTTTTGCTTTTGTACAAATCTTCGTTTTCGTTCTTGTCCAAACAATCGCTCGATTTGCACTTCGACATTGTGATGCTATCGTCATCTTTTGCAAACGATTCTACTGGTTTTAAGGTCCCAAATCGTCTCTGTTTCAACTCGTGGATTATTTTGGAAGCTTTCTCATATTTCTCTTTTTCCATGACGATGGCCGTTGATTTATCTTTTTTGCGTAGTTCATGCTCGTAATCTTTCTGAGGGACGGTGACTATAAACAATACTCCTGCCATTATTCTGTTGTCGCGACGTGTTGATGGGACATGCGCGCGCGCCGCTCGCCTCACAGCGGACTGCAGACAGACCATGGTCGAAATGTCACCATAAATTGCGGATAATCGCTAAACAATTGGTTTCCTCGTTTTGTAACTTGGCGAAAATCTATACAAACTTTGTCGGCCATTATTAGGTAACTAGGATTTACGCTGGATTTACTTTAGTTTTCTAATAGTTTTGTAATTATACTAGGTAAGTACCTACGTATTAGTTACATGAACTTTATGAGATTTTATAATAGCAGTATCACATTTCTTAGAGCTTCGTTCATGTTAAAATTTTGCTGGTTTCAGATTTCATCCCTTATGTATGAGTATAACATTTTTCATCTAGCATTCAGTAAACATTTTTCTGGGCGAGACAAAATGTATTTTATTTGCCATCCTGTTTCGTATTCATATTGAGCTCAGCGTCTAGCTATTTAGACTAGCAATTTTAAAAGAACAGAACCTTGTTTCACAGGCACCTTGTAAAATGATATGCTAATATTGTTGCAGCTACAAGCAAGTAGGTATATACCACACACAGGTCAATTTAACACAGTAATAGTATGTAATTATTAATTTATATTGCTTGGTTACAAAATCGCTACTTCGGCTGAGTTGCAATAACCGGTGCTTTTTGTATGGAGTTTGACAGATTTTTGACGTTATTAACGTTAATGATAGTGCAAGATGGTGCAACTCACATTAGCTGCCACACTACAGCTTTTTGTGCTTTCCTTCGTTCCCAGAAATTGGAGATTTCAAGTTTGACAATGAGACTATTGATGGTGTAGCGTGTAGGTAATAAATAATAGTAAATCCCTCGTTTGTCGTGAGTGTGGTACATTTATAGCACAGTTTTTACTCCAGCATAATGTTCCCGTGTTGTTTGCCCTAGATTCTGTTGGTGAGTTAATGAAGTGTTATGGTTCAGCAGCGCGAGGCCGTTTGTGAAGACGCAGTTAATTGGGTTCTGTTCAATTAGCGAGTATTCCTGGGTGCATTGCTGCTCTAAATGATATTTTGTGGAGGTTTGTTTATGGCTCGAGTAGGGTTGCCAGGTTTCAAACGTTAAGACGGAGTTGTCAGCAACAGTCGAAATACCGGATCCCTAAAATCTATTGAATCGTTTATCGATATTGAGTTTGTACACCTAATAAACACCGGGAGTAAGTCTGCTTTGGCTAGGTTTACAAAGTCAAACGTTTGGTTATACAGACGTCTGGCAACCTTAGATTCAAGGCCGGACCGAGAGTTTTAAGGTGGCCCACCTACTATACTCTTTCGCATTATCGTCTATTTTTGACTTTGACCAAGACTTAGCTGGGGGCCCTGGGCTGAAGCCTAAAAAGCCATATTATGGTAGATCCGGCCCTGCCTAGATTCGCATTATGTCAAAGTGTTCAATCTGTTACATACACTTGGCTGTATTAGTTCCTCTCTTACATTACCTGATAACAATTCTAATAAGTATTAACTTACGTAAGTATTAACTACGACTACAATAATTTATTAAGATTCCATTAAAATTCACTGGACTTGTAAGATTCGAACCCGTGACCGCATTAGCTCGTTAGTCCAGTCAATGAATGCTTTAACGACGGTGTAGAGAGAAATCCGTGGAACATAATTTCTGACCTCGGGACTTTATTTAGACTAGTTAGGAGGTGAACATAGCAAAAGTCCCCGCCCTTAGCCCTTGAGCCGCCGGGGAGAGGGGGGTTTAATGGTACTACTTTTCGGTTTTTCTCTTAATCCTCGGAAACTATGCGTCCTAGTGACATGACTACTATGAACCAAAAAAATCTTATTCAATTTGCTACAGGTGAGACAGTCAAGTTTTTCTATATCTTTTATAGTTTTCACGGCATCTGCTCTAGAAGGTCTGTAATTTTGGAAATTTTATTTTTGTCTTACATGTTCCCATCAATAGAAAGTCGACTAAATCAACATTAAGCAAGTATTTTAGACATGCGGGAGCACGTTAAGCCTAGTTCCAGGGAGGGGACTGCACCGTGCGTATATTTAGACGACCCAATTGGAGCCACTTTTGACTCCTCATCACTGAAAAACTACTGTGCATTAACACTTCAAATTTGGCTCATGTGTTGAGACTTGCAAGATAAACATCAGCTTCAAATTTCATAAATATACCTCAAACGGTTATTTAGGTATTGACGTTCAAAAATCGACATTTAGAACACTAAAATCTATCTAAAAATGTAAAATGTTAAAATTTACTGGTTTTTTATTTGTTCCTTTGTATTTACACATCTACCTATCCGTATGCCAAATTTGAACCTACAAGGTCATCTGGAAGTTGTTAGAATTTGGTCTATAGGTCAGATATGTAGATTTTTGGACGTCAATACCTAAAGAACCGTTTGAGGTATATTTATGAAATTTGAAGCTGATGTTTATCTTGCAAGTCTCAACACATGAGCCAAATTTGAAGTGTTAATGCACAGTAGTTTTTGAGTGATGTGGAGTCAAAAGTGGCTCCAATTGATTCGTCTAAATATACGCACAGTGCAGTCCTCTCCCTGGAACTAGGCTTAACATGCTTCCGCATGTCTAAAATATTTGCTCAATGTTGATTTAGTCGATTTTCTCCTGATGGGAACATGTAAGACAAAAATAAAATTTCCAATATTACAGACCTTCTAGAATAGATGCCGCAAAAACTATACAAGATATAGAAAAACTTGACTATCTCACCTGTAGCAAATTGAATAAGCTTTTTTTGGTTCATAGTAGTCATGTCACTAGGACGCATAGTTTCCGAGGATTAAGCGAAAAATCGAAAAGTGGTACCTTTAAACCCCCCTCACCCCGCCGGCTCAAGGGCTAAGGGCGGGGACTTTTGCTATGTTCACCTCCTAACTAGTCTAAATAAAGTCCCGAAGTCAAAAATTGTGTTCCACGGATTTCCATCTATAATGCTTTATTGACTGGACTACGTGTCAGAACTGTGAATTATGAAAACACACTCCTTAAAACAGTGGAAAAGAAAATTCGTTTGGCCTTAAATGTTGCTGCCTTAGTGATAAAATAAAACTGCTTCTGGCGATAATATCAATTATAGTGACGTATACAGTTTTTGCATTTGCACAATAGGGCATATTAAAAGTATCACACGATTAAAATAATGATCAGTAAATAGTGGTTGATAATGATAGTTTTTGATTTCTTATGAGCTTACAGTTGCTACGAAATAAAAAGAGGGAAACTAAGGAAAATTTAATTTAGTAACCCCAAAAAATTTAGAACGTTTCGTTATGTAAGTAATTTTCTTGTCTCTAATATTTTCCTTGATGGATTGAAAACAATCTTTTGAAGTCTTGGTAACCATTTTACAAAAGTAAAATAAAATATTATGCTGACTGTCTTTGTGATTACGTATTTTCCTATCAATTTGCATGTGGTAAATACTTAAAAACAAAAGAATATAAGTAAAACATTTAGGTAATGATGACTTAAGTTAATGCACGTGATACGTTATAAATGGGCAGCGAATTTCAAGGAAAGAAGAGCTTTAATTTTGTCATATTTTTCAATTCAGTTTTCCTTTTCTTTATTGTGCTATAGATAATGCTTTAATTCTTTTAATTCACGTGTTCATTGTTTTTACGCAAACGCATTTGTTTTCTCAAAACAATTCATGTGTTTAAAAATACCGATCAAGTTTCCAGAGCGTTCACGTGGATTTGATCATCGTCCCCCCGGCAACCGTTGCGGATAGAGTCCCGCCGCCCTCCACCGCGCAGCCGTGGCGCTCGGGCGGGCGGCGCGCACCGCCCGCCCCAGTCGCGGCGCAGCCTGCCGCCCGCGCGAGTATGTCCCGCGCCACGCGAACAAAATAACCTAAACAAAAAATAACTAATCCAACAACCAAACAAAAAAACATCAAAAAACAAAAGAGCAACCACCCAACGCCGGACGAAACCCGTACGTACCGCCAATTCAGTCATTCGCGACCCTGATTGTCAACACCATGAAACATGGCCACCACCACGAACACATGATCGCAATTGCAACGAGAGCTATTCTCAGCGTGCCCCAGAACGCGGTGTTTATGTGCCCATACAGTTTGTATACGTTTGTGTATTTTTTCGGCCGTTACGTAAATGGTACGCGGACGGTAAATCGATAAGTTATTAAATGTTGTATGGAACGGTTTGATTAAAGATTGTTGCCGAATTATGCCCAATTTGCCGTAGCTGTATGCTGTATTAAATAGGTAATTTTTAAGTTATTGGTGATTAGTGGTAGGGATGGGGTAGAAGCTTTGGTTAGATAAGAATAAAATGTTTGCCCAAATTAGGTTAGTGTCTGTGTACGCGTTAGGTAGACTATAATTAGGTTTTGCCTGGGTCCCAGGACAAAATGTCATTATATAACGTGATCCTTGTTGTGACGTAAGTGACGGGCTCCCCAGCGATCTTGCGTCTGTCGTCAGTAGTTACTGTTTGTTTAGGTTTCGGTAACAAGATAATATTGGGCTAAAGATGTCTAACTAAGAACATTTTTGGGGTATTTCACTTGACAGTTCAGTGTCTTGAACGTAATTATTCCTTTGAGTGATTTAACAGGGCTTATACCTACCCAATTTGCATGAGTTTTGTTTAAAACGAGTACCTACCTATATAAAAAGAAGTGAGTAACTACGAGTATAATATTTGATAAGGTAAGTAAGTAATACCTACAATTCATAATTTTCATAATGCCTCTAATAGTGTCTTACATCATTTGACCATTGTATAGCTGGTTGAATTAGTAGGTATTTGTTGTAACATCCAATGTCATTAAGGGTCGATTCTTGTCGACACAACGGTCAAAAATGCAATCAAATAAATCGGAGGGTCAAGGCGCTAACGTCGCGGCGTCGCTTTAGGGTATTTTATCCATCCACGTTTATTATTGAATCATACTTCACAATTTCAGATTTTTTTGCCCCGATATTCTCATTTAAATAACAAAAGTTCTGACTATTTGCCGTTTTACAATTATTATGAAACTTTCGTATAA